GCCTTGAAAGCACAGGGCAGAAATTGAGATAAAYTCAGGAGAAACCACAGATTGGGCTTGGCACAGAGGTGCAGAGCCCTCCCTGAGCCAGCGTGTCACACTCRGGAGAGGGAACACGAGGAGACAAATCCAGCTGTAGAACACAGTGTTAGGAGAGGCAGAATAAATCCCTCCCTGACCCTGCAGCAGCTCGGATTTGATCTGCATCAGGTTTGATTATCTCGGCAACTGTTGATAGAGGAGGGGAACGAGAAGAAAGGGAAATAGGGAAGAAAAGAAAAGAGATCCCGGTTCCTGCGTGCAGCCTGTGAAGGTGTTTGGGGTGTGCACACAGGTGTGAGCTGCATGCAGATGAACCACAGCTTTGTTCTCGCTCTCTGCTCTGAGCTGGGGCTGCTCTSCCTCCCTCAGCTGCAGAGATGGAGYSTCCAAAAGTGTCTGAGCTYRCTGGAATCCTCTCCTGGGCTGGCCYATCCCGCAAGGAGAGCCCTTCCCAAACCTTCTCCCCGAGCTCTGAGCTCTCCCTGTCCTGTTCTCCCCTCAAACAGCCTTTGCAGAGCTGCAGACGGACATCAATGAGCTGACCAGCGACCTGGACCGCTCGGGCATCCCCTACCTGGACTACAGGACCTACGCCATGCGGGTGCTGTTCCCGGGCATCGAGGACCACCCTGTGCTGCGGGAGCTGGAGGTAACACCCACACCCTTCTCCAGCTCTCTGAGCTCTCCTGAGCTCTTCAGGAACCCTGCAGCACCTTTAGAGCTCCACACCAGAGCTTCTGGCATCTCCTGGGGTCRGCAGGCTGAGCGAGCCCCGAGGTCATTTGAGCTCCTCCCACGTTGCCGGTTTCTTTTCAGTTTCTCCTCCCCGCGGTTGGTTTAGTTTTATTTTACGGGGGTTTATATCGCTGTAGGGCAGCAGCAGAGCAGGGCAGAGCAGTTATGGATGTGTTTTAAAGTCCTTTAAAGTCAGCTCAGGATGCAGGGGTGGAGGAATGCCCGGAGCATCCCTCCCGGAGCATCCRTCCCGCTGCTGTTCCCGTGCGTGTCCACAGGAGGGCAAGGGGAATGCCCAGATATTCCAACCTCCGAGCAAACGCCTCCTTCTCCTCGCTTTTCCCTCCGGGATGTGTAAAAATCCATAAAAATTCTCACTGAGGATACGCAGGAACTGGGAACGGACAAGGGTCCATTTGGGAGAGAGACAAAATAAAAGATGGGGTTTCTTAAATATCATCTCTCACCTGGGATGGGTCTGAGATTCTCACCCTGGGATGGGGCTCTGCTCCTCCATGTGGCATTTCCAGAGGCTCAGCTCAGCTTTTCAGATACTGGGAGCGCCCCAATAAATCCTGAAGCCCCAGGATTTGGGGTTTGGTGTAGGAAGAAGGAATCCTGGTTGTTCCAGGGCTGGATTCCTTTCCCAAACAGGCACTTCCCACCCTCACTGCACCCCTTTGGACCCCTCTCCTCGCCCCCCAGCACCGAGCAGGCTCTGTGGTGTTGCTGGAGCCTCTCCCAGCCCATTCCTGCTCCCAGTTTTCCATCTCTGTGCATTATTTTTGCTGCTGGAGTTGCCAGAGAAGCTGACGCTCCAGCAAACAAATATGAATGCTTTTTGTTTTACTCATGAAAAACAGAATTGCAGAAGTGATAAATGTGTTGCCAATTACACAGTTGCTTAATTATGTAACGTTAGTAAAACCAATACATAACTCTCCAAGATGTTTGGTAAAGAGTTGCCTCGTGCAGTTCATCATTTTCACTCGTAATGAATTACTCGAATCCGCAACTGGCTGAAAGCCTCAATTAATTTTTTACTCTTGGCCCATAATAAAGCAATAGTCTAAATTAGTATTTAATTTACTTACAAGAGTGTCACTTTTTTGTGCAGAACAAGCAGAACTGGGTGTCATTTCTGGGGCCGTTACCCTCCAAGCTGCTGCTTTATGGCGTGCACAGAGCTCAGCTCCCGGCGAGGATGGCGGGGAGCAGTGCTGGGGGAGGACAGGATTGCTCAGGTTGGAGCAGAGACCACATCCAGGGATGCTGAGACCTCTGGCATTGGGTGCTGGCCAGGGTTAAACCATCCTGAGCACATTCCTGATGCCCCCAGTGTGAGAGGGACATGAGGA